ACCTTCTTGTCCATTCGCATCACTTACATTCTTTATGATCATTACCTTCGAAGTAATTATCATAATCATAAATCGATAAATTATACATCATTTTATTAGTTTCATCATGAGCTTAAAGAGACCTAACTCAACTTTAAGATTCATATTCAAACTTAATCATTAATTGAGTTAAAGAAAAACAATGACATGTAGTTTTTTTAGTTGCATACTAAAATTGGAAGACATTCAAAATTGCGTTGGAACTTTTTCCGCTCTTTTTACATACTGAAATTGTTATTATTTTCTTATTATTTTTCCAAGTTATTTGCATTAAATATTAGTAAATGGACTAATTTATTTTACCGCACTCGATAAATATATTTATATTATATATGATTTTTATGTTTCTCATTTTATTGGCTTAAATTTTTAGTTATTCTCACTCTTTCTTGGTTTTTAAATTTAATAATTGTATCTTTTAAACATATATTTGATAACTTTTTTATGTCATACAACTTTGTACATTAAATTATTTTTCTTTTAATAATTTTTTATTTGACACCATAATTCATATACAAAATGAATGATAATTTTTTCTTTGACATTTAATAAGCTGAAATGAAATAGTTGCCTTAAGGTTGTTTATACATAAATTATAAACATATGTTATACAATTGTCATAAAATGATTTAAAATGGTACATTTTTCATATTTTTTTTGATAGGATTACCTCTTTCAATTAAACTAATGTAAACTAAAATCTTAAACTGATAGTTTTTTAAGTCTTTTGAGTTCTTGATATAATTTATCTTAATAACCTCGAACTCAAACGTGTAAAACTCCTTTATTAATTCATAGACAAAATAAATAAATAAATATTGAATAAGATAAAAATATTTATTTATATTACAAATTTTCACATGACGTGTACTAGTGACTACTAAAAAAAGACACATTCTTACTGTGATTTTAGGAGTAAGTTATCTATTTTTGTCATTTTTTACCACCCATATTGCTTGATTTTGTATGGACCCCCTCTAAATCAATGATATTATTATTATCAACAAAACCACGATCATGACCTATAGCTAATGTTAGATTTTTCTTATTTATCTTGAACAATATGAAAATGAAATGAAATAACTGCCAATTATAATCATTCGCTAATACATTCATTAAATAAGAAAACAATAAGGCTATTGTTAGCAGCTCTAATAATTAAATTATTCATACATCTTTCAACGGATTTTGATATTTCTAAACAATTTTAATTAAATAAAATATTTCCCACAAATTTTTAATAAAATCAATACGTCTAGATGCATTTCTAGTTAATAAAACACACCATGGAGTAAAATTGGTCAGCGTCATTTTCACACGCTTCTCAAATTAACCTTCAACAGTTAGACGTGGTGCAAAAAGTGGGTCATCCATGAATTATGATTTATTCAAAATAAATAAAACCATATTTATATAACAAAAAATGCAATTAATAATTAAAAAAAGCCCTAAAATTATTATCTCCTCCGTATAAATAGGTCACCTTCTCAAGTTAATTTCACTCACCTTCAATATTTCATCTTTCTCTCACACACGTTGAGCTCCACGACAATGGCGACTAACCGTCTTTCCATTGTCCCCCTGTTTTTCATAGGTAAATTTCAATGATTTTACATCTGTTTTTTTCTTGTGTTAATCGAATTAATGTCTGATTTCAAATTTTATTTTCACACAAATTAATTTGTGTCCTTGTTAAATAGTTAATTGTCACCATTGACGGCTGGCTTTTTTCTATCAGGCATGCTTTCACGCGCCTCCGCCACCGTCTTCACTCTCCAAAACGGCTGCAGCTACACGGTCTGGCCGGGGACCATCTCCGGCAACGGCGCCGCCCTCCTCGGCGACGGCGGCTTCCAGCTCCCTCCCGGCGCCTCTGTTCAACTCCCGGCGCCGCCAGGATGGTCGGGCCGCTTCTGGGCCCGGACCGGCTGCACCTTCGACGCCGCCGGGAACGGCAACTGCACGACGGGGGATTGTCCCGGCGGGATCCGGTGCGCCAGCGGTGGCGCCCCGCCGGTCAGTCTGGTGGAGTTCACCATCGGCGGCGGCGCCGGCGGCATGGCGGAGGACTTCTACGACGTGAGCCTGGTGGACGGGTACAACGTGGGGCTCGGGGTTCAGCCATCGTCCGGCGGCTCCGGCGACTGCCAGTACGCCGGCTGCGTGGCGGACGTGAACGGGGGGTGCCCGCCGGAGCTGCAGGTGGTGGACGGCGGGGGGGCGGTTGTGGCCTGCCGGAGCGCGTGCGCGGCGTTCGGGGCTCCGGAGTTCTGCTGCACCGGCGAGTTCGGGACGCCGGCGGCTTGCACGCCGACGAAGTACTCGGAGATGTTCAAGAGCGCGTGCCCGACGGCGTACAGCTACGCGTACGACGATCTGACAAGCACGTGCACCTGCACGGGTTCGGACTATTTGATTACGTTTTGCTCGACCCATTAGAATTTGATTAATTCTTCATTGTATTTCGATTATTATTGTTTGATTTGAGTGTGTCGAATTTATTTATCATTTTTTTGTTCTATTTTTTTGCAATTTATGGATTAAAGTACCTTTGGATATCGAAGTTGTTTGTTGGTTATTTATTTAATTTCACCTAGCATTTGGTGCTAGGCATATGGACCGACCATCTTCACTTATTAGAAAATATTTACACCTTATCAAATTGAAATCCATAAGCAAAACTATATTTAGAAAATTTTTAATGCTCAAATACTCAATTTAAATGGAGGGAGCCTATCCCTTCACACTGCTATTCACGTTGTTTTTGAGTATTCATCCTAAATTCAAAATTTATTTAAGCTATATTCAACGTATTCATGGTGATGTAGCATCTATAAAATTTGTCGGGTCAACTTGATTTCCACAGTATAAAAATATATGATATTGATTTGAATATCCACGAAAACTTATAATTTATATATAATCTCAAAGAATTTGTGTATGTCTGCTCATCGGTCATACAGTAGGTGGCGATGTGACAGAATTTTTTTAATTATTGTAAAATTTTGAATTTAAATTTGAACCATCCTCTGTGTGTTACAAGTTACAACAGACTGCAAAAATGGAGTAGTTTTTATCATTGTTGTCGTGTGGTTTTAACTTTAATAATTTGTGCTTACTTTTTAAGGATAATTAACCTTTTTTACCCCTTTATTTGTTAGTAAATGATGTTGAAAATGCAAGTGAATTTATGGAGTAAGTTAAACCTGAACCCATAATAGCGCCGTTAAATCTACTTCAAAACAACATTCCATATGAATTAGCAGAAGATTTGTTTGGCCATCATTCTAAGAGGCACTTTTTGAAGAAGCTGCTGCATTCACTAGTTTTCTCTTCTTGTAATTAGCCTTGAAACATGCTTGTCTTAATCTCTTTGTCATTACCTCCAAATCCATGTCTGGGGCCTCTTCCATTTCTCTCATTTGTTGCTCCAAAATCTTGATAGCTTCTTCATTAATTTCTCCATTATCCTCTTTCGCCATTTCCTAAGAAAATTCGAATTAGCAATAGGAAATTAAAGAGGATT